GCGAACCACAACTCCCGGCCACAAGCAGGAACATGCTTTCTGAAAGAACCAGCTCGGTCCTAGATACACAAACCAAAGACAGTGGCAAATGCTGATCCTAATGTTGCGCAACCAAGTCCTACTCACCACGGAAGGGGCGAGCAGGAGATTCATGAAATGGACAAGTACTCCTGACCAAACAATGAGCTCAGACAGGACGAAATACTGGAAAGTCTTTGCACCTCCAAACAGCAAAGAAGCTATCAGGAAGCCCGCGACCACCATCGTGGAGGTGACTTCATGGTCGCTTTAGGGTAGTTGGTCCCTTTTGCCCCTCTGTACTTATACGATAGCATCCGCTAGAAGCTTTAGTGCGTCAGTGGATCCGACAAGCTACGAATGCTGAAGACGGATCTGTCCCACTCCGCCACGAAGTAGCTCCATCGGGGCCGGAATATTTGCATGTAGCAGTGGTGTCCCGTTGTAGTCCCTATGTCTGATAGGTAGCCCGTATGTACTTATTAACTTGTTTACGTCATAACTGGGTCCTTGTTGGCTACACGTTTACTTTTATTTTGTGTTATAATGAAACCCAATAAGAACTAAAGATGATCATTTTTAATATATTCTCAACAGGGAACCAGTTGACGGACACCAAGCTCCTGTTGAAGTTTGTCTATCCTACAGTTTTATCTCCCTGCACATGTGCCGGGGTTTCTGCGAGATCAGGGCTCGTCGGAAGCATGTATAAAATACAATGCTAGGATTGCTTTTGTCAAAACGCATTGTTTGTGTTTGTAAAGTTGTTAGGTCTTTCCTATATTCGATTAAGAGGCTTGTCCTCGTTCTGACCATTTCATCATCGTCATAATGCTATCTGCAAGTACTTAGAGCTTTGTTGAACCGAGATGTTGAGTCCCATGACCCTTCGGGAATATTTACCCAGAGAACCCAATACCCCTTAATTACGGAATATACCTTGAATCATAATATGAAGGCCCCTATAGTTTAAGGTATATTCCTTAATTAACGTGTTTTTAGGTTGTCTGGATAGCGAACAGATTGACAAAGCATGCCAAAGCCGGGGGCTCAACCTGGACAAGAGTTATTGATCCTCTTATGCCTTAGCTGGCAAATCCGAGTTTTGTCTAATCCCTATAAATTCTATGCTAGGGTTAAGAATAACAACCTTCAACATAATAGGTTACATCCTGCCCTTTTGTTTAGAGTACCTACTTTTTGACAGATCCTAGCCATCAGATGAAATACGTTCAAGAAGACTAGGGTACGACCCCTAGATAGGGCCTGCATAACTACTAACACTGTTCGTTAGAGCTCCTAATTATTTGAGTATGACCGGCAACCATATTCCACTCATGAAGGTCCTTACGCCACGGAAATTCAGCCTAGAGACTCCAAAACCCCTTAATTAAGGAATATACCTCAAATTATAATGGGGTCCCCAACATCATTTAAGGTATATTCCTTAATTAAGGGGTTTTGGAGTCTCTAGGGGCAAAGAAGTTGCTAAGTGTCTTTACTGAAAGGAGGCTACCAATTCGGCCTATTTCCCGTAATGGTGAACACTTGTGAAATGTTGTCGAATATAAGACCAGGCAAGCCCGAACGAATACCCGCTTTTTCCCAGCGCAGCATGTGTAGAAACAAGAGTTCTTCCATCCCATCTAGGACATTTTCAGGTGGGTAGTTACCGTTACATGAGCCTTATAGAAGGTCTAAGAACCTTCTGGAAGCCTGCTAGAAGCCCTATATACGCCTAAACTCCCAAACCCCTTAGGAACCCTAAACTCCCCACCTCACGTTTCCTTCGATCCCAGGGTGCTCATGGTGGTGGTGCCGGCTTTCTTCGTGTTTACCGAGGGCGTTGTGCCCAAGCACATCCTGAATCGCTCGCCCGAGGCTGTTTAGAGTTCACCAGTTTAGAGTTTAGGGTTCAGGGTTTAGCGTTTAGGGTTTAGGGGCTGTTTAGATTTCGCGGAGCCGGACACGCCTTAACTCTTAACAACCCCCAATACCAAATACCTCACATATATATATATATATCCCGCTGCGTGTGTGTGTGTATGTAGGTATGTATGTATGTATGTATGTATGTATGTATGTATGTATGTATGGAGGTGTGTATGTATGTATGTATGTATGTATGTATGTATGTATGTACGTACGTATGTATGTATGTATGTATGTATGTATGTATGTATGTATGTGTGTATGTATTATTGCTATTCTTCTTAGTAGTATGTTTTCATTACTGTTATGCTTATTATTATCACCGTTTTCCCTTTTTATTACTATTGCCATTGTTGTTACTATCGTGACTGTTGTTTATCAGTAGTAGTAGTATTGTTAGTATTCCTGTTTGTTTGCTATATACACCACAGACCCCAACGTTTACAGACCCTATAGGCCCCAAGCCTAAAGCAGTGGTTTTCGGTTGGTCGGATGCAGAGCACATCTGATGTGAACTGTAGGGCTTTTGGTCTGAGTTTTAGGGTTTAGAACTTTAGGGCTTGGGCCCTGCAACCTAAACCTTGTTTGACCCTGGCCCCGATGTTTAAACCCTACGGTTTAGGGTTCAGGGTTCCAGTATTAGAGCCTTAGGTTCGGGGTTTGACATTTGTGTCGATTTCCCTGTGTTGGCTTGTGGCTTCTGTTCGTTATCCAAGCTTTCCGATGCAGGGTTTGTCACATGTTGTTGCTTTCCGGTTTCGGGTGAGGTTTTAGGGTGTTGTTTTGCTTTCCGGTGTCGGGTTTGGCTGTTCAGTTTGTTTTGTTGCTTTCCGGTGTAAAGTTGGGGTTGCGATGTGTTTTTGCCTTTTCCTGTCCAGAGCCTGTGGGCTGTAAGGCTACACTGTAAGGCTAAGGCGTTTGCTGCAGCTTCTCTTGGCATCTGGCACCGTACAGAACCCTTTTAGAATGCTACCAAACTCTGCAAAACTCCGTATCGGACACTCTAAACCTTTATGGACTCCTTGTAGAACCCTGGTAGACCTGATAATACCAGTCGTGCCATGACATCTTGGGGAGGAGCACCTAAATCCGGCATGGTTTCTTGTTTTTCGCATTGGATCCTACATTGCGTCAATATAGAGCAATTCCTCGTTTGAACCCCCGGACTTAGGATCCACGGTAGTAGCCTTGCCGTCCCAATTGTAGCATTGTGGCTGATCTAGGGCTTAGACTGCCAGAAGTTTACGTCATTTGTATTTCTGCTTTGTATTAGTAATTACCGTGCCACAAAGGATAAGTTGGAGCACATCCTACAATCAAGGGAAAACTAATGAATGTCTTGGAACCCATATACCTGTCGTCTTGCTGCCGGGCAGGCGCACCAAGCCGAATGGCAGGCAATGCAGGATCGTTTACAGGCACCAGTTTACAGTTAGACTTCCGGGCCTTTGGAGTTTAGGGTTTGGGGCTTGCGGGCTTCTCAGCTATAACGGCCTCAGACCTAGATCACTGCTGCTGTTCTATATCGATACCCTCTTTCAGATATTCTATCTATCAAGGCCCCTCATTAGATTGGCTACGCCCGGGTAGGTTGTATGGCCATGGCAGAAAAGGGGAAACCACGGCTTCCCTTGAACGAGGGCAGGGGTGCATCGATGCATGGCAAACAGGCCCTCTCTGCGGAGAGATTTCGTGGGCCCAAGCAACCAATCCTCTCCCAGAAAGTTTATAATCCATCAACGGATTCCGAATGAAGGTCAGTTTCTTTCTGCATTTCGTAACATGGTCCTGAGTTGCAGGAGTATGCAAATTTTCTGAGCTCCGGAGGGTTTTGGCCATGACCCTAGACTGCTCAACCCTGCCATGTAACCTATTGAATGACCTATTGCCTCCTTCGGAAACCCACACCTTAAACCCTGAGCGCAAAACCCTAAACCTAAACCCCCTAAACCCTAAAGCCAAAACCCTTAAAGCAACCTAACGCCTAAACCCTAAACCCCTCAAACAAAACAACCTAAAGCCTCAACCCTCAACCCCCCAAAACACATGAAGCAGAAAAACCATAAAGCCCTCAACCCCCCATTGAACCTTATGGAACCCCTTGACGGAACCCTAAAACCATAAACCCTAAAGCCTAAACCCTTAAAACAAAAAAACCTAAAGCCTAAACCCTAATCCCCCCAAAACGAAGCACGCAAGGCGATGGATGCCCAGGTCGCCTCAATGAGTGCTCAGCTCCACGGATCTGCGTCTTGCCAAGCTTTTAGGCTTTAGGGGTTTAGGGTTTAGGGACGGTTTGCGGTTTAGGGACGGTTTAGGGTTTCTTAGGCTCCATATGGGCAGCTATAGGGTGTCTATAAGGGTACTATAAGGGTTCTATATAAGCAGTTCTCTAAACGAGGGTTCCCCTGTTAGGGTCCTTTTTAATGGTGTCGTACAGTCTGGGGGACTTGAAAAGGGACCCTAATTCAGAGATCTACCCATAGACCTATAAGGGTTCCTTTAGGGGTTCCTTTACTGAGTTCCTCAAAGGGTACTACAAGTGTTTAGGGCTTTCGGTAGCAAGGCTCCCTGTACCTACATAGGGTATACGTAGGCCTGAAAGGTATTCTTATATAGGTGCTTTAACCCAGAGAACCCGATACCCCTTAATTCAGGAACATAGCCTAATTCATAATATTGAGGCCCCTATAGTTTAAGGCATATTCCTTGATTAAGGGGTATTGGGTTCTCTGGGAAGGCCTGAGTACATACTATACAGGTACACGGCGCCTTAGAGGTTTCAGATTGAGGTTTAGGGCTTGGGTGTTGGGGTTTAGGGTTTAGGGTTTTCGGAGTGGCGAAAGGGCTGATAATGTTGGCATGCAATGAAACGGGAGAACCCTAAATCCTTCAACGCTTGACCCTGCCTCTCGCCACGATGGGATAGTGGCCACGTCGGCAACAAAAGCCTCAACAGAAAAGCTTCCGAGGAATGGCAAACCGTGCACCCTGACCTCTTAAAGCCTTAAACTGGCGGCCTGAACAAATAGAATAGGGTATTCGGGTATAGTCTAATAAAGTTAGGCTAGCAACTATACAGGCATACTGTTGCCACCTATACCGTTCGGTATATTACATAAATTTGAGCCCCCGCCCCACAGGCCCATACTGACTAGGAAGCATAGCGCGATCGGTCAGAATACCTGCATAGTTAAATTGATCAGCAATACTCTTCCGTCAGGGTTCCTTGCAATGAACCATACCTTTTCACTTTAATACCCTTCCCCCCCCACCCCCCCCCCGCGGAAACCCTATTCCAATCCTTCACACCCCCTTGTTAGGGTTTCAGGAGTGTGGGGAGTCAAAGACCACAGGAATTTGTGGTGAGGGGCTGCTTTTTGGGTATGTGCGACCTCAGAATTCAGATAGTCTACAACCCGACAGGCCCATCCCGGAGTCAGATATACGTACCGTAATCGGAATTATAACTCGTTATAACTTCCCAGAGACTCCAAAATCCCTTAATTAAGGAATATACCTCAAATCATACTAGGGATCCTATTACAATTTAAGGTATATTCCTTAATTAAGGGATTTGGGAGTCTCTGGGTTCTATAAGTATAGTTGCCTTATTTATTACCCTAATAACGGTTACAAAGTCCCATGGACCTTGAAGTCCCCAGAGAACCCAGTACACCTTCGTTAAGGAATATACCTTAAACTATAGGGTTTAGGGTTTAGGGTTTAGGGTACCTTAGTTAGAAATATACCTTAAACTATAGGGGCCTTTATATTATGCTTTAAGGTCTATTCCTTAATTAATGGGTATTGGGTTCTCAGGGTCTGGACATTGCAGAAGCCCGCATGCCAAGGCGCATACGGCTGCACCGTGACGCGCGGTCGGAGTTTTGGGTTTCGGGTTTTAGGGTTTAGGGGTTTAGGGCTTTGGGTTTCGGGTTTAGGGTTTAGGGGGTAGGCGCCTTAGCCTGCCCCCGGAGGGTCCAAGCAGTTGGCCTGAGGGTCCAAACACACCCTATAAGCCCAAACTTCAATCATGTAATGCCCAGCTTAAATGATTCAAGGTACCTAATAATTCGGTAACATAGGCTTAAGATAGTATCTAGTGCATAGTTGCAGATTTGATGTTCGTACTCAGGGCAGGGTTTAGGGTTGGTTTTGAATGTTTCACTTATTAATCTGAAGTACAGGTTGACTTGTAGAACATAGATACCCGGAATTGCGGTGTTTTAATGATTACCTTAGGGTTTAGGGTTTAGGGGTTTAGGGTGTAGGGTTTCGGGGTTTAGGGTTTCTGGTTAGTCTAGTTGCCTTGTGCTAGGACTTTAGCCACAAAGTTGGTTATCCGAAGAAAGGTGCTGCAGCGCAGGGTCTAGGTGTATACGGTATACGCGCATCGACATGAGTTCCATGGTATAGACGTCGGACTGAGAAGTAATTGGCAATGTCCCCCTGCAGTGCCTATATAACTATGATATATAGCAGAATGTGCATCCAAAACTCCTTTTCCAGTTACTAGTACAGAAGCCTAAATAATTACAAGTATTTTTCCTTAGGGTTCCTAGAACACCCTAAACCCTTCTCTTGGTCCTACAAAAAGCGCTCAATGGTTGTTGGCACTCCAAACCTAGCTTATCATTTGGGCATTTGGGTAGTTCTCGAAAGTGGGGTCCCTTTTAGGGTCCTTTCTATAAGGGTGCCGCACTATATTGGGGACCCAAAAAGGGACCCGAATTCCGGGAACTACCCATTAAGGCCCCTAAACCTTTAAATTTATTCTAAACTCTAAACCCTAAACCCTAAACCCATTGAGGCCTCTGATTTTGGACCCTCAGAAAGGTTACAAGAACCGAAGGACTCGGACTCCCGTCAAGCCCAGAGAACCCAATACCCCTTCATTAAGGAACAGACCTTAAATCATAATATGGAGGCCCCCATAATTTAAGGTATATCCCTTAATTAAGGTGTATTGGGTTCTCTGGGAGGAGTTGCAGCGACTTTGCTTGGCGGCTTCGGGTGAAACTTGTCAGCCGCACTCGCCCTAAGCCTAACCCCAAGCCCTAAACTCAAACCTAAAACCCTAAACCCTCAAACCCTAAATCATCCTGAACCATAAACCCCAAACTATCCTGAAGCCTAAACCCTAAAACCCTAAACCCTAAACTCAATGTGAAGCAACCGACCCTGAAGTTGCGGTCAAGGTAAAGCCTAAACTGAAACGGTTTAGGGTTTAGGGTTCCCGTAGTCGCCAACATACAACCCTAAATACAAATCCTTGCATCCTTTGAACGGTCCTTGCAAAGCCCGAAAGCCTAAACTCCTTGAAATCTTAAACCCTCAAACCCTGAACCCTCAAACCTTAGACCCTAGACCCCTAAACCCTAAACCCCTAAACTTTAAACCAGTAAACCCTAAAGCCTAAACCTCAAACCCTTAAACCCTAAACCTGAAACCCCTAAACCCTAAAACCCTAAACCCCTAAACCCTAAACCTTACACCCCTAAACCCTAAACCCTATCAGCCTATAGAAAGCTGGCCTGAGACTCGACCGCTCTCAGCAGAGCGCGCTTAGTGCGCACTGCTATTGTTTTCCCCCCGCTTGGAGGATCATGGGCCAAAGTAAAGTCAGAAGCTCCGAGTTTAGGTTTTGGTTACAGGGGGTTTCGAAGTTTCCGAAGTTTGGATACAAATTCTCAGATTACATAAGCTATACCCTAGAGTTCCGAAGTCTCCCCATCCTCCAGGCACACCGAGCAAGGCCGGACAAAACGGGAGCTGCACTGTCGCTTTGCCTCGATAGATACAGATAAAGGTATAGATAGAAAGAGTATATATATATATATATAGAAAGCGATACAGATGTAACAAGATAAAGATCAGTTTGTATGTGTGATTACCTATCTCTCTGTCTATCTATCTATCTATCTATCTATCTATCTATCTATCTATCTGTATAGTTATGTTTATATACTATGTATTTTTACTTACCTTCCTACTTATATATATATATATACATACAGTATGTACACACGCATACGCAATTTAGACAGGAAAACTTCTAGACCTTCCCAAGCTTCGTGGCTTTCCATTTATACCACGGCTGATGATGTAAATCCTGCATCACCCATAATAAGGAATGTATGCCATAACTCCCTGTGTCTAGGGTCCATAAACAGCCGTAGCACTACCGGTCCTAAGCAGTTCATACGAGGGATAAGTTTTGAATGTTCGGAGTTTCGATGCATAGCTCCCGAATCAAACAAATACTGTGTAAATATATATTTATATGTAGATGTGCATGTCTGTGTAGTACCGCAATTGGATGTATGTGTATACCGTTGATACAAATATCTATGTGTCGATCGAGCTGTCTATCTGCCTGTCTATCTATCTGACTGACTATCTATCTTTTGATTCATGGCTCTGCCGATCTATCTATCCATCCATCCATCCATCCATCGATGTATCATTAATGCCTACCGAAGCTGACCATCGGTGAGTTCCCAACCATTGACGGAACCCTTAACCAGGGCCTAAAACCCAAAAAGGGGTGTTGAGGTAGACACCGAAGGCCCTCGTGCGGTAGAGAGTGCAGGTGCTGGGCGTCGTTGTGGTCGCTGCAGGTGTTGGCATCTGCACATGGTGCGATCCCCAAATGCGGCTAGGGCTTGCAGAATCGGGTGAATTGTTGAATCCTGAAGGACTTGAGCCAGCAAGCAGCATTTCGGGTTTAGGCTACAGCATCAAGACCCTTCATTCAAGGCACCAGTACAGGGTCTTCGGCCTTCTTCCTTCTGAAAATGCTAAAAAGACCAGTTGCCAGATACCCTTGAAAGACCCGCACATGCACCAAAAAAACGAAACAAGCCACGAGAGGTCCAGGCTTCAGCGTTTAAGGTTCGGGGTTTCCGGTTGACGGCTGGAGGTTTGCGGCTTACTAGCAGTTGTAAACTATAACCAATATAGGGACTACAGTACACGAGGATTTACCTTCAAGCGCCTTAACCTGTCAAGTGAACCCTAAACCCTAAAACCCTAAACCCCTAAACCCTAAACCAAAAGCCCTAAACCCTAAACCCCTGAATCCCTAAACCCTAAATCCCTAAACCCTAAACCGAAAGCCCTAAACCCTAGACCCCTAAACCCTAAACCCCTGAGTCCCTAAACCCCTAAACCCCTAAACCCCTAAACCCTAAACCCTAAACCCCTAAACCCCTAAACCCCTAAACCCTAAACCGAAAGCCCTAAGCCGCGGCAGCCAGGCCGAACTTGGTTGGCGCTGATGGAGAGGCAGTTGGCGCTGCCGGCGGCTAAGACGTCACACAGGGGCTACATAGTTCTCTAAATTAGGGTTTAGGGTTTAGGGTTTAGGGTTTAGGGTTTAGGGTTTAGGGTTTAGGGTTTAGGGTTTGGGGGGTTCCATGTGGGTAGTTCTCTAAATTAGGGTCCATCTTAGGGTTCCTTTTGTAAGGGTGCCGTACTATATTGGGGACCCAAAAAGGGGATCCTAGTTGAGACAACTACCCGTATAGTAAACTCAAAAAGTTGGAAACCGGATTGAAGACAAATAGTGCTGGGATTCCTTACACCCCCGGTTTACTCATTGTGTTTCCAACTTTCGGGCTTCTACGATATATACTAAGTATACTACGTACCAGTATAAGTCCCAATCGACCATCCTTATTGTAGTTTTGGTGACCTCATTCCCCAGTATTAGTATACGTGGAGCCTCCGGGCTGCACTCGCCGTGCAGCTTCTTGTGTTAATGATTGACGTGGCTTTGCTGCTGATGGTACCCTAAGGGTCCTAAGTAGCTATATAGTAGAATGTAGGGTCTCTATAGTAGGAATTACTAGTATGATGTGGGAAAGTATTCCCCATAACAGTACCTAGGACCCTTTGGGGTAGTGGTGATGTGTGAAGATAATGACGGCCTCCCGGCCCTCGCCTTTTGCGAGGGTGCTTGAGTGAAGCCACGCTTTGCGCCCGACAGACGGGCACTGGTGAAGCCTCGTCAGGGCCGCTAGCCAAGCTCCGTTGTTCAGATTACCTCTTCGCCATGGCGAGCGCGGCCAGCGATAGCAAGGCGTTGCAGAAATTCGAGCGCACATCTGTTGAGGGCCACAGACGGCGGTCGAAGTTAGAACGAACCATTCCTCCCAGTTCCACACGTGGTGCTGGACGATGATGATGCTACGATCATGCTAACGCTGGTGATTGTGGGTGTACGTACTAAGATGATGATGGTTACACGATCATGCTGACGGCGGTGATTGTGGAAATGATTGCGATGGTGGTGGCTGGTGCCGAAAAGCAACTTCTTGTTCCGTTGTAGTACTATGATTCTGCTGGTGCTACGGTTGCTGTTGCTGTCGCTGAAGTTATTGCTGCTGTCGCGGTCTGTAACCGTTGCTGTTACTCATCAATAGAACCCTAAACCTTAAACCCCAAACCCCTAAAACCCTAAACCCAAAAGTCCCTAAGTCCTAAACCCAAAGTCCCCAAAGCAATACTATAGGGGCCTAAATAATTACCAATACTATTTGGGGGGGTTGTTCCTGATTATATTTATGGTATAATTTACTCCAAAACCCTATTCTAATTCTTGAGGCCCCTAAGCCCTTATAGTAGCCCTGATAGAGCCCTTTGAAGGAACCTCCCAAACCCTATTCTTATAAACTGTAGCAATAAGATACTCCAAAATCTTATTCCTATTAGCTACTAGAACCCCTCAAGGGTTACAGATCCCTTATAGAAACCCTTAAGCATTCCTTTAAAGGAACCCTATGCTAACTATAACTGTAAATTATAGGGGCCTTCATATTATGATTTCAGGCATATTCCCTAAACCCTAAACCCCCTTAAGCCCTAAACC